GCCAGCTAGCGTCGTGCGTTCGCTCACATAGCAGCCGCTCAGCTCAGCCTCAATTTTGTTTGACGAGCGTTCAATTTTCTGCAGCACGATTGTAGAATTAAAAGTATGAGGCCGCGCCGTCTCTGCGGCCTCTGAGCATGGCCACGTTAGTTTGTTCTACCAGCGCCGTCAGATATGATTTGTGTGGCTTGGATCCTAGATTCTTCTTCATACAGTCGTTTAGATAGTCCATGCATGCTTGCATGCTGCAGTGGTCACCATGACATACATGCCTCCCTTCTGCTGCAACTTGTCCTTATGGCTTCTTCTTGTAGGAAACATCAACGCTAGTGGTTAAAACATGCATGTCAAAATTAGATGCTTATATGTGTCTGGTGGTGATATCTAATACTATCGCTCTAGCATTGTTTATCAGTAGGAGACAAAAAAATAGCGCTCTATCTAGAAATGACACATTCTAGCATGGAAAAAGATTTGAAAGCCTGGCCATGTACTTGATTGGCGTTGATAAGTTAATATGTATGGTGAAGTTAATTGCACCACAAATAATAATTTTCTATGATCAGAGTAGAGCCTATGCATGATCAGGTAAAAAGAACTGTAGCTATTCAGAGTCATCATCACCACATAGTAATACATGAGAGAGAAAGAGAGTACGATTGTGACATTTCATGCATGCATCCGGTCTGATTCCCTTTTGTCGTCTTTGTCTGGAAGAGCATCCATCCATGCTAGATAGCAACACATTGCATGCCAAACCTGTTCATGATATTGACCCTTCATGCTACAATTTTCTGTCTTCTCGCAATATTGATGCATCGCTGCAAGGAACATGGAGTGAGTATTATATTTGTCACTCCTATGATCTTTTCTTTGTATAAATGAAGCATTATAGCATGAAAAACTCATCAAGCGTTCAATTATTATCTTTGGTATTTTCGAACATTGATCATTGTTCCTGAGAGTTTAGTTGGTACAATCAATTTATTTGCACATCATGGAACAATGTGGACTAATAAGATTTGAACCCATATGGTAACTCTCATAATAACTGCATATATCTATATGTTGTCACATTACAATACGATGTTGCTTTCAGTGAACTGAGAACCGTGGAAATAATCGGGAGGACAGTCTCATTAAGCCAGGATGATATTTCACTATCACTACACAGTAGATAAATGGAAGGTTGTGTTTGTCCAATGCATTTTCATGAATCTACACAATGCCATGTACTGCAATACCAAGTCATGTCACACTAATTTCTTGTACTTTGATTTTTTAGGCCATGTCTAGTTCTTATTTATCGTGTTCCTGCTAACAGTGAATTCCAAGATTCTCCTCTTGCCTATAAAAACATGACCTTGCCTTTGTTCCACTGCACCCCTCCACCTCCTTTGCCTTCTTTGGCGTACCTTGCTTCCCATGGAAGGTTGTGTTTAGACATGAAAATAAACATGGCCTCCTTCACATGAATATGTTCTCTTCACACGCTTTTGGTACCAAAACTATGCATAACCATAACATCGAGCCACAGAACAACAACACAGAGTTAACTTTGTACTGAAATGAAGCATCTTGACTTGCAACGTTTGTCCCAAATATTGCGACCTCAACTGCCAGCCCCCTTTTACCAAGAGTACGACGAAGTTAACGTGGAAATAGAAGAAAATGGTTTCCCTGAGGAACCACATCGGCCCTCCGCCCTACAACCAAGAAGCCAAGAAACTGCAGCTTTCGCGTTGGGGAGAAACTACTTGTTTCTACAACCCTGGCTTGGTCCGCATCGCCGCTGGCCCCCCATGGCTAGCGCTGCTTGGCCGCGCCACATGTGGCATCCTCATAAGCGCCGCCCGGCTGGCTCTACATCCCACCTCACCATGTTCCCAGCGCGCCCCGCCATGTCTCGGTGAGCGAGCCACGCGCCGCTAGCCCGCCATGCTTGGCCGAGCTCGCCTCAGTGAGGCCCCGCCTCACACTGCCACTGTCACACTCTGCTCGCGCAGCATCGTCACAAGCCACACTGCCCACTTCCGCTCACCCGTCTCCTTCCGTCCTCATGAGCCCTGCCGACGTGTTGGCCCACTGATGATGCGCCGCCATGCCGCCCGGGCCAGGCCCGCCACCCACCCGCTCACATGCACTGCCCACTGGCTGGTGGCCATCCGCTGCTCCCTGTCAGGCCACGGATGAGAAGAGGACCAGTCAGCTTGGATCTTTCTAAATCGGGAGAAGAAAATGGGTATAGGGAGGAGAGAGAAGATTGGGAAAGGAGAAAACAAAAGAATGGATTGGTTGAATTTTATTAAGTGCCCACGTACCAAACAATGCACCGTGAGCTATAGTTTCTTTAGGTAATTTCTTGCTTATGTGGCAGCTATGAAAACCAGTATATGGCTTATGGGTTGGGACTGAACTAAGGACCAATATGGCAATGTAGACTAATCTACTTCATTCGCCATTCATTCATTTTGATTAAAGTGCTCTCAATTTTGTGTGGGAGCGAATGGAGTAATATGCAGCCTGTTCGCTTGCTCGTATCTGGCTTATAAGTCATGGCTTATCAGCCAACGAATAGTATTTTTTTTCCACACCAAACCAGCCAACAGTACTTTCAGCCATGACTTATAAGCCAAACTAGCCAAAACGAACAGGGCGATGGTCTATTTGGTAGTGTCAGAGGATTTTTTTTTTGAAAAAAAGACACCCTTTCTTATTTATATGTCATTTTCAGGGCTACCTATGAGACAAGCTACTCGTCCACCCTCCAAAAGGAGAATCACAGGCCGAGATTTGAAATGGGCATGTCGTATGCTAGAGGAGTGCAGTAATATAACGAAGGTCTTCCCCCAAAGATGGGTGGCCATTTTCTAATGGGCTTAATTAGTGCTTAGTTGCTACTTGAGTTGTGTTTTTAGAGCCTTTTGAGAAGTTGCTTGTGCCAGCCAGAGGCTACCTTTGTAGATTCGTTAAATGCATGATTTTTGCAACGGCCAGAATAAAATTCATTTTTCTAGAAAGGGGTAAGTTTGGGCAAAGTTGTTAAGCAAAAAGTAAAATCTCTTTTAGACAGAATGTAGAGAACAAATCTGCGTTTGGAAACGATCACTGGGATACAAGAAAGGGGAAAGTGCATCAGGGCACCCTTGGGAGGTAGGACAGCATGGCCTTATCCATTGTGGGGCCATGTTGTGCATGTATGTATGGCGTAATAGATGTATGTCCACTGGGTACACTACCACCAAAATGGGTATATGTAGACATGCTCAGTCTCTTGATTTTTCACGTCCCATACTAAATGCACGTGGTACCAAAAAATATAATAGATTAGGTGGCCACTCACAACAAATAAAAGACATGCATGCAGTTGCCTCCTTGAATAAACATAATTGCGACTTTTTAGTGATTATTAATATGGCTAATTGCACAATTACGGGTCATGGACAAATGCCACTAGCAAAAAACAACACAACAAATTAGATATGCTTGATTAACCTAATCTAATACTCATGACATCATGCCTTTGTTGTAGTGTTAAATATCTAGAGATGTTGGATACCGCAAATCCTAACATTGTTGCTTGATCATAAGTGAACTATAAATAAGAACTTCTAGGGTCCTCTTATTGATAAATTATGTTCATATAGTTGAAGCAAGGCTCTAATTGATTATCACATAGTCATGCATGACCGTTAATTTGAGGAACAACAAGGAAAAATAAGTTTTAAAAATATTTTGTTAAATATGAATATGAACTAAAAATTTCTCCTAAATTTAAGCTAAATAAAAATTATATATGGTCATTAAAACTAAGAAAACAAAATGCATTACAAATTGTCATAGGTACATAAAAATGATAAATAATTTTTTGATAAGAGATACAAATGCCTTTAATGATAGAATCGGAGGGGCAAGTCTATTTACATTAAAAAAAGATCTAAATAGAATATATTCAAAAAGAGTCACCCGAGTACCATAAAAAAGCGCTGGAGCCCGGGCAGCCGCCCACGCTCGCCGGGCCTTGGGACCGCCCGTGATTCACACGATGTTATAGTTGGCGTCTACAAAATCCCTTCCTGGTGGGGTTAATATACGAAGGTCCGGTTTCCCAAAAAAAATGATTGTTGATCACACATCACTCCATTTTCGTTGTCGAGGACTGAAGTGCAGTTTGTTATCTACAGCCTGTTCTATGATTGATTTATGGACTGATAAGCCCGGCTAGTGCTGGTTTGTTATGAAAAAAAAATATTATTAGCTAGCTGATAAGTCCAAGCGAACAGGCTGCTTAGTATCTACATGCAGTGTGTTGCGGTGTTGCACTGTTGCCTACCAGAAACGAGTTTGCAAGGCAAATAGCTGATGTTCTGTATCTGGAGGTTCTAACGAACAGCCACTTTTTGTGGCTGCCGTGTACACATGCACACACAGAAAGCGTAATAAAGCGTCTGGACATGATGTGGTGATGTTCACCTTCATATGTATATGCTCAATCTTAGCAAAAGCTTAACTTAGGGTCGGAAAATAATGACAAATCACTGTTGTTATTCACAAGGCGCACTGGACTTCTATACGAATTACAACAAACCCCGAAGCGTTCAAGCGGCTGGCGTGTCCAAGGTGAAAATAATGGCAAACGACCCGAAAAATAATGACAAATCACTGTGTGGACAGGGCTGGCGCCGTGGCGCGTGGCGCGTGGCGCGTCCAAGGGGAACACGCGCACGCCATGCAATGCCACAGCAACTGGAAGAACGGCAGAGCCTTTTCTGCCTGGGCGCAGGGCTTTCACCTCTTCGGTCCTCCTGAGGCCACTCTAGCCACAAAAAAGGACCCAAGATGCAGGCGCTGGGCCTGGGCCGCGGGTGCATCCCCCTCCATGCCAGCCACTGCCGCCGCACCGCTTCTCCCTCTCCTCCGGCTCCACCCCGTCCCCGCAACGTCACAGGGCTAAAAACCTGCGTCGCCGCTGTGCGCGCAGCGCCGCGCAGCCCGCGCAGATGGAACGCAGGCAGGAGGAGCAGGTCGTGAAGCTGCGGGCGGTGGAGGCCACGCCCGAGTCCTTCGCTTCGTTCGGGCAGGTCATCACCGCCTCCCCCGACGGCGACGAGTTCGGCCCCCACGACGCCCAGCTCGACCTCAGCCGCGGCATCCCAAGGTAATCCATTATATCCCCGCACGAGAGAAATCCAATTCAGATCGAGTCGTCCGGACTTGACCAGAGATTCGAGCTTTTCATCTCCCTTCTCTCCGTCGCAGGTTCTACATCATGCGGTTGCAGGACCGGCCGCTGGAGTTCTCCACCATCACCCACCACGCCAGCGTGACCCAGTGCCTGGGCTCCATCGGCGGCCACGACTGGTACCTCGGGGTGGCCAAGCCGTCGATCGTGGACGGAGCGTCCGAGCAGAGTGGCCCGGAGGGGAGGAAGCTCTTACAGTCTCCCGCAGGGCACTATTACCTGCCTCCTGATCCAGCCGAGGTCTGCGTGTTCCGGGTTTCCGGCTCCAAGTTTCTCAAGCTGAACAAGGGGACCTGGCATGCCGGCCCTTTGTTCAAGGCGGATGCTGTTGATTTCTATAATCTGGAATTGAGCAACACCAACGTGAGTGCTAAATTACTGAATTAGACACTAGTAGTTCATTGTTGTGTCAGGATGATCCTGACAGAAAAAAGCGTTACACATTGCTCCCTATTAGCTAAGTCTCTTTGGTTTTGCAGCCTCAGTGGTAAGTAGTCAGCAAGTTATAAAACTGGAAGTTATATGTTTTCCTGGAGCGTGATATAAAACTGGAAGTTATATGTTTTCCTGGAGCATGGTAGATATTTAGCAATCAAAACCTGGAAGTAGTGTCAGTATTCAGTACTACAGTCCTACAGTCTACACACATACATCTCACCGACTCTAGGCACGGTACTGAATCAATGCCCATGCATAGTCTCTTCCAAAATTAGCTCGTATGGTTACTGTACATAAATTGAGATGGATATCTCTGATTTAGAGATTAGAGATATCTAGCAATTCCTAATATTTTGTGTTTTTGTGTATTGTTCACGTGATTCACCAACTAAAACTCTAAAAGCCTTTTTTGGACTGTCCAACAAGCATTCATATGAGTTTGCATTTCTGTATTATGCTCAGTTGCTCACTGAATTTCCTACCTCTTTTATCAGACTTCACGTAAGACGCATAAATTTTGCCCCTAAGGGCATATGCTCTCATGCGCACACAACGTTAGAGGCACATGCTCTCTCCTACTGCACACGCATCCCCATGTGTATCCAACGGTGTATGCACATTGGGGGTATATATGCCCTTAGGGACAAAATCAACATTACTCGCGTATCTGGTTTAAATAACCTATGCAAATCTCATGTGTTAATAGCCTGTGCAAGTAAAATTGGATTTGGCAGATTGGTTGATATATCAATTTAACTAAAAATAGCCCCTGTTAATTAACTTGCTAGTAAATATACTTGGTTCTGTTCATTTTTCGCTTATTGGCATTAAGTAATCATATCATAATTAGTTAGGTCTCTGTAGTTTTGTAATCTCAATGCTAAGTAAGCAAATTATTAAACTGGAAGTTACATGTTCTCCTGGAGCATCATATATTTTTAGCAAGCAAAAGCAAAACCCTGGAAGGAGTGCAGTGTACTCAGTACTATACACATAAATCTCACCGAGTCTAGACATCGATAGCAATATACCACTGTTTGGAATACACCATTCTGGTTCATTTTTTTTTCAAACAAACCGAGCATGAGAGCGTGCTGATTCAATATTCAAGCATAGTTTCTTCCAGAAGTAGCTCATATAATACTGTAGATAAATGGAGATGTATGTCTTTGCTTTAGAGATTTCATATTTGATGTTCTCGTATATTCTTCACGTGATTACCTTTCTTTCAACCTTTTTGGGCAGTTCAGCAAGCATTATGATGAATTTGCATTTCTGTACTATGCTCACTTAATGTCCTACCTGTTTTGTTAGACTTCACTTATCTGCTTTAAATAACATATGCAAATCTCATATGTTAATACCTGTGCAAGTAACAATTGATTCGACAGATTGGTTAATAAAACAATAAAACAATTTAACCAAAAATAGCCCCTGTTAACTTGCTTGTAAATATACTTGGTTCTGTTTATTTTTCACATATCAGCTTGCAAAGTATCCATATCATGATTAATGAAGCCTTGACTTGGTTCATACTGTAATATAATGTGGTAACAATAACCATGTTATCAAATTGAATTATTGTCTATGGAAACTGGCCTGGCAGTCCGATTTTTTTTATGTTTCTGGAGTTGAATACCTGATGGAGTCCCAACTATTCTGACAGCAAATGACTGACGATCTATAACCTGATTTGGATTATTGTTTGCTGAAGTTGGAACACAACTATTGAAAAGTGCTACTTCTGGCTATTTATGAGATAATTAGGATGTTTTAGATTAAAATATCATCATTACCAAACGACTTACCAGTGTCTCCCAAGGCTGTGAAATCCTTATGATATGAAATGAAATTCCGTGGCTTTACTGGTCCATTGTTTATGGATAAATTCATTGTGTGCAACTGAATGTTTATTGAAACAATGAGGAATTCTCCGATGAGCACAGAACGTGGCATTTGCTTCACACAGCTGCATTTCTGGCTTTGCAGGTTGTCGATCATACTACACACTATTTCAAGGAACATGATGGGATAACATTTGTGGTGGAGGACTAAAAAAACATTTTGCAATCCGAACATCATTGACAAGACTGCTGGCTGATCTTCTACAAGTTTGTAGTGAACCACCAACATGTAAAGTGTTATGTAGAAATGCACATCCGACGTCCTTGTTCAAACTTGCGTATCATGTTTTGTTAGAACCAAAATGAAGGGGAAAAACTCTGCCTCTACTTTCAAGATGTTTGGAACCGAGACATTTGAGTGACTCATGTTTTGTTAGAACCAAAATGAAGGGAAAACTACGTCCCTACTTTGTAGGTGTTTGAAACTGAGACATTGAAACTGATTACTACTGATCTGCCAATGATGTAGCCACCAAAGAGAATTGGTACACGCTATCTTGGTCATTCCTGATAGCGAGGATAGGTTCCCATACTCACGCCCTGTTCGGCTGATGGTTTTTGTGGCTGATAAGCCGGCTGATGCTGATATGTTGTGAGAGAAAAATGTTGTACCATGACTGATAAGCAGTTCAATCTTCAGCAACCATGACGACGCTGAGCTTTGAGATGAAAAAACATGACAAGGCACAAGATGCCGATGAGTCGATGAGAGCATGGCCGAGCAAAAGCAGAGACGCTGACCAAACATCACGGGGCACCTAATCTCAGCCTCCACCAAGGCGCCAATCACAGCAAGTATGAATTCGCCTAACCTACGCTTGTCCTGCGCTGTTCCGCCTGTGCCGATTTGGACGTCGTGGCCGCTGGCCGGGGATTTCGCAATTTTCGACGATCCTGCCTTGACCCCCTGACGATCTGCCGTCCGCGGTGCCGTGCGGACGTGCCGCCCAACTCTCGCCGTCTCTCCGGGCGTCTCACGGGCTCACGGCCGCCGCGCTGCGCGCTGGCGAGGATAGCGCATCGCGGCCACGCCCGACGTATAAACATGCGTGCCCCCATGGTTCTTTTCGCTGCACTTGTCACGTTGCCATGCCTCCACTACCCGTCTACCCTGGCCATCCATATCCACACCCCGCACGGCCGTCGCTGCAATAGCATCGCGCTTTGGTCAGAGCAGAAGCCAGCGCCCATGCTAAATGCCTAAATCCATCGCGCGCTGGCCGATTCCTATTGGCCGCTGCCTGGTTAATCAACTAGGATACTGATTAAAGAAATGGTTAACTAGCAGCGGGAGGAGTGTATAATAAGCAGCGGCGCACGCAAAAGCAATCGGCCAAGGAAAAAGCACAAAGCGGCAGGAGAACGGCCCGGCCCCGGCCGGACGCCAATCCTCCGTGTGCGGTGGCGCAACTCGACCAAACAACCGCCTTTTTAAGCCGTTCGCGTTCCTGACCCCCGCTCCCCACTCGCACTCGCCCCCCGTCTGTTCTCTTTGTCTCTGATCGGCAGGAGAGAAAAGTGGATGCTCCAGCGAAGCGAGCACCATAATCGTCGGCCATGGAGAGGTCTCTCGACAGCTACTCCTCCATGAAGGACGTCACTTACAGGTTCGATTCCTAGGCGATTCGGTTATTTCTCTGCCGCTTCTCAACTTCCTTTCTTCTGTTGCCGCCCTCGATCAAACTGGGTCTCGCAAAAAAAAAAAAAAAAATCAAATCCATTTTTGATCCTCGCTATAGGAAGTACGGGATATTTCAATTGCGCTTTACTGCTGTTCATCCTCTTTGCTATTCGCTAGTATGTAGTTCTCCACAGAGAACCGTAGTATTTGGCGTTTTACTGTGTGTCGAATCCGATTCTTTGCGATTGATTCGAATTGTCCCAACCATTTTCCTTGGCCCGATATTGGCCTCTGCAAGTTTGCTAAGAATTCATACTCAAAACCCAGACTCGGTGTGTCACTCTTTACTTAAGGACTAAGGTTTTGATTAGGGTAACTGAGAAGTACAACTGCCAAATTCTGTGCAAAAGCGACGATATTCAAGTACCAGCATTCACGCCCTCTGCACCTGCAACTGTCGGGGTGGTTTTCCTGGCTGGCAACATGTCACTCACACACACTCACCCACTGTTTACTGGCAGCTGCGGGTACTGCGGCTACGCGCTGAACCTGAGCTCCTCGGCGCGGGACACGGCGGGGATCGGGTCCAAGTACCGCAAGCAGATCAAGAAGGGTGTCGTCGCCTTCGTCGCGGTCGACGAAAGCCGGTTCACGCTCACCGACGAGGTCACCTGCATGCCCTACTTCCGCTCCGCCCGCTCCTGGGGCCTCTTCAGGAGGCGGGCGCGCCTGCTCTGCCGCAAGTGCGGCGGGCGCATCGGCAACGCCTACGAGGAGGAGGACGACGCCAGGGACTACTCCAGCTCCAGCCTCTTCGACGGAGACGTCTCCTCGGATGACATGCGCCCGAGCTCCGGCTCGGGCCGCAGCAGCGTCGTGTCCAGCCAGAAGAACTACGTGATCAAGATCAGCGCGCTGCAGCCATCGTCAGATGATTCTGCTGTTGTTCCCTTCACACATCGATGATGCAGGTGTCGAGTTGCTGTTGCTGCACCGTGTTCTTCTTCCAGCTTGGTTGAATTTGAATTTGCTGCAGCCTGGGGATGTGAGTGGTGTATGCAGTGCTGGAGGAAAAAATGCAGCAAGGGAACATCTTGGCATGCCTAGACTTTTCAGAGGTTTGATCATCTGCATGCTGCTTTCAGTCATCTTGCTGTTTGTAGTGGCTCTTTGTTTCCTCTGTACATCGGTAAGTTTACAGCGACATGGTTGTTGAAATTTTGGTTGGCGCTAGGAAAATGGTTAAGAGCTTGTTCGGCTGAGCAAGAAGCCGGCTTGTTCGGCTTGTTTTTCCAGCCGGGACAGTGTTTTTCTCTCACAACAAACCAGCACGAACAGTGTTTTTCAGCATGAACAGTACTTTGCTGTATTTTGATTGATCCATAGCGTTTGTATTATGTCATGGAATTGCAATTTTGATTAGTCTTGTCTCACTTGCATGTGCAAATGATTTAGGTTATAGCTCTCTTCCTTTCTTGAGAAAAAGCATTTACTGGCACAATGATATAATTTACTCATTAGTATTTGAATTTTACTTTAGGCATCCAAATTACACAATTAGGGCTTGTTTGGTGCATCAAATCCTACTCATGATTCTCTATGGAAAGTGATTGTCCGAGAGAAGAGAATCTGTGGATAAAAATTTTCTAGTTCATTTCAGTGAATCATTGTATGGAATCAATATAGAATCACTTTTTTTGGGGGTAAAAAACGGTTTGGCAAATCTCCCCTAGAAGCTGCTCTAGGAGCTAAATAGTCCCTTAATTTGTTGCCCGCAAACAATGCTTATTTATTAAGGCACTTATATATATATGCAGCAGCTCACTGAGAACAAGGACTTGGAAGCATACGTAGTCAGGGGGTCAGGGGCAGCTGGGTTCAAACCAGTAGTACCTTAGTTGGATGACATGGTTATGATCCACAAAAAACTAATATGCAAATAGGAAAAACAGAAGCTATTTTCTTAAGTGAATTCTAAGACTGAAAGTGAAGGACAATAATGCTAAAAATCATCATTATCATATACAGCGGAGCTCTTTAGCTCCAGCAGTACAAATTTCAGGTATCCCTATTTGCTACTGGGCATACATACATTCAATCGAGATAATTGAATAATATGTTATAACAATAACAATCAAATCAAATAAAAAGAATTTGAAATACATTTAAATATGACTGTGGTAGTTTACACTATAATTCTGCTTGGACTGGCTATTGTGTTGGCATTGGTTTATTCTGCAAGAAGTGTCTGAACATAATCAAAGCTTGTCGAGGCCGGTGCAGCGGCACTTCATGTCCTGCACCTGCTATGGTTACAAGGGTTAGTCCTTTGTAAACTTGGCTCCAACCTCCAACCTGTGACATCAGAAAATAGCAATTAAGATTAAGTTGGAAAATTAATTCTGCTCCAGAATTTTCTTAATAGAGCGAACTGTTCTTGTACTGACCTTCCCATGGTCATACCAAGGGTACCAATTTACCAATGTTGGAAGCTTGAGAGCATCTATTGAGTACCTTGTCGCAGTTACAGGAACTACAGCATCTGTGTCCCCACTGTGAACAGGTAAAGAGGAAAAATGCACCTAAGTCAACAGTCAATGCAACCCATGATAAACTTAGTTTCAGAGAAGGTACAGAGTTTTTTCCCCAAATAGAGAAAAGATTCATTCATAAGTTAAAATGATTGGACAAAACATCCATTTACACAAGCAGTCTGATACCAATATTAAATGGTAAAATGATATTACAATTACAGAACATGAAATCACCTATAGATAATAACTAATGATATCACTCACCTTGAACTGACCAAAATATGTATCAGATTTGAGCACACCCGGTAAATTGCTATCATGAAAAATAACACAAGAGAGGCTAAAGCTACTGGTCCTCACCTGAAAACCCAGATCTTGATACCAGCTGCTATCAGGTCTTGGTAGATTGGAAGCATAGATCTTGGGGAATCTGCCCAGTAGGATCCAATGATATCGCTGTGACAGATAGTGTACATGAGTTCACATGTCTAAAAAGGAACATCAAATATATGTATACTGTCAAGTACAACCATTATAACCTGCATGTTTGCCAAGGGTAATGAATTCCAGTTGTATTTGCATGCATTGCCATCTGCACTTCTGGCCTGTTGTAGTAAATACTTGCATATCTTTCAGTGCAAGGATCATAGGCTCTGGACAACCAAGGCTGTGGATGGGAACATGTAATTAGACATAGAAAGGAAATGGCCCAAATATATTATTTGATACAAATATACAGTGAATCAAGTTTAGAAAGCAATGTTAATGAACAATAATTAGGAAAAAGAACAAACATAACTTCATTCACAGTAGAGATTTGCAGAACTGTATCCGTTTATTCAATAGAAGTACATCCAATGTAAATTGTCCAACACAAGTGTAAATGCACAATCAACAATCAAGTGTTAGATGCCACAGTTGGATAAATGCACTGTGTGCATAAAGGCAAATTTGCCTGCAGCAATCACAAAACTGTATATTCCTTGCTAGTGAATCTGTGTACTCCATCCAGTTACCTCATGTACCATTGGCTGTTGCCATAAATAATAATTGTTTTTTGTGATGGACCTTTCTTGCTCTTTTCTGAACCACTACAGCACAAAACTAACAGTGAACCAATTGGGTTGACAGAGAATTGATTCTGTTTATGCTCCGTGTTAATTTGATATCTAAATGGAGCTACTACATCATGTTAAAGTAATTGCATCATGCTTGACCATCTGATAGTTTCAGTAGCATCTGGCGATTGACATTGCATTGCTCTCTGCTGAGTGTGAATGGTCTCAAAAGTAAAAGGAATCACTATTTCAGCGATTAAGAAATGGAAGTCTGGAAAAGTAGATATGTGAAATAATATCGCAACAAGATTACTCAGTGGAAATTCAAGAAAGGAAAAAAGAAAAGCACTTACGTAGCGTCCACCCAAGCCAAGCTTGAGAGAGGCGGTGTCATTGCATGGCTTTGTATTCAGACTATAAGGATCAATATTGCCTTCTTCAGCACTGGCTAGATTCAGGTTCTTGACACAGTCAGGTGAAGGGTGTTGTGAGGATTCAAGCAAGCATGTCGCCTTCAGGTTGTGATAAGTCTTGTCAGAGATCAGACCATGAGTCCACCAATACTCAAAGGTGCCAAGGTAGTCATGGTAGTCATCAGTGACTGCATTGCCTACCTTAATTTTTCAGGAATTACAAAACTTCAGAAACAAGCATAAATAAAGTGGAACCAGTACAGATAAAAATCGAGCCTGAGATTTACCATGAATCCTTTGAAATTAATTGTCGGATTCTGAATGCTTTTGTTCTTTTCATATATGAGCTGGGCTAATTGTGGAACGTAGTGCCCTGCAAGCATCAGAGGCCAAACAATTCAACTCTTTCACACCAAAATGAGCCAGCCCAAACAGAATTCACAACTTGTGACACACAAACTTTACCCGCATAACTTTCTCCAGCAATATAGAACTCCCTGTGCTTGTACTGTGGGAATCTCTCCAACCAATTCACGAGAAAAGCATAGGCATCCAGTGCTACAAGACAAGACAAAGGCAAGTACAAGGGGTTGGTACCTGAATTCTTGATCAACCAAGGTAACTGGGCAGCTCGCACAGGAATGGCCATGAATCAGTTTTACCTGTCTTTGCATCTCCTGCGGTGTACAGATCCAGCGACGAGTTCGAGTACGAGAACCCCACGCCGGCCGGCGATTCCAGGAAGAGCAAATTGGCCGCTGCAGTCACCGTGAAGCAAAGCAAACCGGAAACAAATCAGCCACATCCGGCACCAGCATTGCAGAATCGATTTTCATGTCCAACTGAGCTCAAGAGCACGCACCCTTGTTCCAAGAATTGGGGTTGAGGTAGAGAGTCTGGCCGTCCGGCCTGATGCGGAACGGGCCGACCTCCTCGGACGCGCCGTAGCCGACCGACGAGCACCCAGGCCCGCCGTTGAGCCAGAGGACGAGCGGCGCGATGGGCCCGGCCGCCGGCACCGCCTCCACGAGCCAGTAGAAGAGCGCGCGCCCCCGCGCCGGGTTGACGGTGACGTAGCCGGAGTACTGCGAGAACCCCACGTTCGGCGGCTGGCCCGGGAGCTCGCGGATCCGGTCGCTCTCCTGATCAGCAGTGGCCATGGCCGCCACCCCCGCTAACACTAGCGGCAGCACCACCACCAAAGCCGCGAATTGGCGACCCATTGCCATTGGGGACGACAAGCTCCAATGCCTAGGCATGGGCAGAGGCAAGCTGCCAATGCAGCTCTCCCCTGGAGATCTTTTAAGACACTGGACACTGGAGTGGAAGTAGATTTCAAGCGGTGGAAGCAGAACTGTGCTTGCACCCCGCACAGTCCTTGCACTCGCGGAGTATACGCAACAGCACTCCAGCTGCTACTGATGTTGCTGACCACTGACAGGGAGATTGCTTGCGCAGTTGCCTTGATTTAAGTGGGGATTTTAGGTCCGCACGCCACCTTCAGCCACTCCCATTGACCAAGGACAGCTCAGGAGCTCGAGCGATGTCTCCTTGAAGCGTCAAAGGGAGGACGGAACCGCGGAGGTAGCTGACCTCGTCCGGTGCCTCTGGCTCTGACCAGCAGCGCGCGGCGCGGCCAGCAAAGGCGGTAGGTGCGGGCAAGTACAAGCCGAATGTGCCGAGATTTCCTCACCCGCTACGATGATTGATTGGCACGGGTACAGCTCAGGCGCCGGGGGAAAAGGGCCGGATCAGATCGCGCGCCGTACCAGCCCTGCCCGAACGCACCTCTCCGAGAAAACTCGCAGGATTAGGCGGGCGGCGTCTACACCTGCGTGCTACAGTACAGCACGGCAAATGGGGTGTCGGGGGGAGCCTAGTGGCGCGGTGGTGGTGCCGGTGGTGCGCGTGAGAGCAGAGCCGAGCCGACTCAGCCGAGCTGTGCCGTGGGGAAGGGCGGGGCGGCGGAAGCGGCTGGAATCAGGCACATGGGGTGGAGGGTTGGAGGGAAACCGCGCGGGAGGCAGGAAAAAAAATTCGCGGGGCTTGGGGCGCTTTCTCATCTGCTCCGCGTCAGCAGCGGCGTCCGTCGCCAGTCGCGTGCGCGCGCATGCGTGAATGAACGTGGAAACTGGAAAGGGCCAAGCAAACCAAACCAAACAAAACACGCGGACTGCTACAGGGCATGTGAGTGAGGGATCGTGTGAGCTGTTTGGCCAGGTTCGTTTCAGGGGGAGTGGTGCTCGACAGCGCAGGCGCAGGAATAGAGTCGCTTCGACGGGCGAAGCTCTTCCCCCAAAAGAACAGCAATGACCGGACCACCGAATCATTGCATCCCCCAAAAGAACAGCAATGACCGGACCACAACAGTTGCACCCTGTTGGCTTGGTTGTTTCGTGGCTTATAAGCTGGCTGATGCTGTTTCGTTACGAGAAAAAAATACTGTATCATGACTAATAAGCATAGCTGATACGATGAAGCGAACAAGGCGTGAGCCCCACGCTAGAATTTTTCACTTTTAAAACTCCAATCTCCTTCACCTTTTGAACTGTTGTGGTTGTTTGGGGGTGGGGGTTGTTTGGGTGTAGTGATTCGGTTCGTTAGGTGTAAATGTGTAATGTTAAAACGAGTGAATTGGTTCTTTAGTTTATACTCTATTTATTCTTCTAAATTATAATGTGTTTTTGCTTTTCTAGATTCATAGTTTTTGCTATGCAAGTATAGTGTATGTCTAAATATATAGGAAAAGCAATGTACGTAGAAAAAACTAAAACGTCTTATATTTAGAATGGAGGGCCATGAGTATTATTTTTTCTGTTGAATTAGTCGATACATGCAAACTACGTACATATGTTAGGCGGACAGGGACGGGGGATTCAATGGTATTCATTGAATACCCATTATTTTTGCTACTAATGGTATTTAAGGGTACAACTAATTATACATGTTGAAAAATTGGGTTACCCAACCTTGGGCCCGCCAGTAATTTGCTAGCTAGTAACAAAAAGAATTGTGTAAAGTTCTTGTTTAGTTTTCTATAGTTAATACACATACACCAGCAAATATTGGTCTAACGATAAATCAACTCATTCCTCTTATTTTATTGGAATGTCATTCCTCCTCCTTTTGGGACTTGGCTTTTGTTCTTATTTCTCAAGCTCGATATATGTATTTGGTTCTTCATTTTGAATGAGGTGGTCGACTTCTTCCTCCCAAATAGGTTGAGTCAAATCAGCTAAAGTGGCGATGATAGCCATTTCTCTATGGTCCGACTTTGGTTCTGACTCTACTCTAGTATTGCATGTCGGAGCGAAAATAACAAAATATCTTCTAGTTGAACACTTAATTGTTCCGTTTTTTTGTGTTTAGTTCAACGGTTTTTTTCAATGGGTCTTCATATTAGGATGAAGGATGATTCGCTTCTAGGGATGTTAAAGGCATGGAAATCCAAGATCTATCGTTCATTGACACTAGGAAAGATAGCTCTGAGGACACCCTTTGGCTTCTAAATTTTGGGCCAAGAGCCAACAGATACTAACGTGGCTTTCACCTGAGAGTATTCTAGAGTATTTTCACATGGAATGAGAAGTGTGCTAAGCACAAATCTAAGTTGACTCAGGATGATGATGAAAGAGACAATATAAAATGATATTGATGGGTGTAGGGACACGTCAGCCAGAGGGGGTTTAAACTAGGTTACTTAATAAACTTAAACTTAGAGACAATTTGATCTACACTAGAAAATATATAAACTAACTAGCATGATTTGCACCTTAGGTTTTCTAGTGCGCCCTCTTAACCAACCTACAAAAATTTTATAAACTAGAGCCAGTCCTACCAATGAGGCTATGACAATGTAGAAAAGGTAGGGCCACACAAGTCAAGCACACAATAGAAAACCTTAAATACATAAGGTAAATAACAAGTCAGGAGAGGGAAACTCCCATATATGAACATTTATCCCATGTTATCCATTGCCAAAACACAATCCCTAGTTCAAATTCGAGCTCCGCAAAGGATATGCTCCTAATCACCAAGCCTTGCCCTGGGTCATGGTGTGCAGACCAAGACAAGTTCCTAAGGCTCACAATTTGTCACCCAACTCTTTCGATCACCAAGGTGTCATTGTCCATGGAACTTCTTCAACAGGGAGGGGGTCTCATGGTCCCTATAGTGGTAGAGCTTGACCAAGATAGGAGGAGGGACAGTCTATATAATCAATCATTAATCACATATACATGAACATTACTATAGTTACTATTTATATAGCGGAGAGCACATAAGGCAGGGGGTCGACATATTCTTCTGCCCTAGATAGGATTGTCACCACCTACCAACTCTTATGGCTATATGGGGTTGAGTGCAATCCAAGGTAACTTCTAGTCTAGACATCACATCCACATTATTGGTAATTATCTATACCACAACTATTGATAAATACATTCACAATAAACTACAAGCTATTTACTGCAAATGAGAATGCTCATAGCAAACAAGTAAAGAACTAGATCGCTTCTCAAATAAAATGAGCATATCTGTTGGCAAACATAAGATAGGAACTCACTTGACATCGGGCTTAATTCCCCCGAGGTACAAGGTGGAGAATAAGTTGACAAGTGACAACTTTTACTCCCCCAACACTCCCACCTCACCTTTCTCCCTATATTTCTAATAGTAGTGTGGTATGACTTCAGCTTTGAATGTTTCTTCTTCTACATGTTTGAAAGAGTGGCGCTAACGTGCTATATATGGCCCCACTAGGTATTCACCGGGGGCATTATCATTGGTGAGATGGCGTGCTAGAGGAGGCAAGATCCAGGGTGACCAAGCTCATTTGATTCACCTAGGCCTATCGGCGTTCATCTTATGTAACCGTCGTTTCTACTGATACTTTGGATTGTCCTATAAGTAGATAGTTAGTGTGCATGTGTAAGGACGAGCCAAGGATAAACTTGAAATAGGACTTAATGCCCCTGCAGGTGTAAAAGGAGTAAATAAGTTCATTTATTTCATAGTGGAAAAACAATTAACTCACTATAACCATCTTCAGTTGCTTTAGCTTTGTGCTCTTCTTGAGCAAAGTCTGAGAGTAAATTTTAAGTGCTTTTCACCTTTCTGCCAAATTAGAATGAGCCGAGCAGTGGACCAAAATGTCCATGTTTCATGGTGCTTGGTGTGGGCCCTTCAATCTAGGAGCGGAGGCCTTCTCATGTTAGATCATTGTTCCTCCATCCCACATTCTTGATGTCTTGTGTTTGTGTTTGTTTACATAGGAGCAAAGGGGGCACGAGGTGCTAACATGGATTGGCCTAGGCTGACCTGTGACTTTATCCAAAAATGCTCAAATTAGGTCATGAGTTCTTGGTGTACTCGGATACATCAAATCTTATGGAAATAATTAGCTTCAACAAAGATCTTCTAGGCGTTAGATTTGAAATTACGATTATTCAAGATATGTTGGAGGTCGAATTTGGCATAATAGATCACCAACGCACGCTAAGAGTTATAATCTAGGCCTTGTCAATTTTGCGAGACCCTTCAACCGCATTTGTATAGTGCCTACCGATGTTGTGCAAGGTAGGAGAGACATGCCTTTTGGCCAAAGCTCTACTCAGTGGAGGCAGAGGGGAGCATGGTGGATAAGGTTAGACGAATAAGACCCATTTTTGTGTGGAGGAAGACACATCGACTATCCATGGGATTATCCAATTAGGAGCTCAACATTCCTTGCAAGGGGATCCAACAAGAATTAGGCGAAAGCACAAGATTTCCGATACCTAGACAAAAAGTCACCATTTTGGATTTATTTCGCATTAATTTTTGCAACCCGCTTGTGTTGACTGATTTACTTTTCCAGACTCGTTGATAAGCTAGTTGATATGATTAGAACCTATCGTGCTAAAGTTTTATCCACTATCGAATGCGCATATTGTGTGAATGGCAATATGCACTAAACACCTAACCTAGAGGTTTGTTTTGATGCCTACTTTAAGGCCATGGAGTAGGGTATACATGAGTGTGGCAAGGAAGTGGGCATCGTGTTTCACCAAGAGTTGGATGACTCAAGCAATGAAGATGGACATACAAATCAAATGTTGGCACTAGGTCAAAGGATCTTAGTCCAACTCAAAGTAGAAAGCTTAAGAATTGTGATAGGAAAAAGGTTGAAGCTGACGTATCACAAGTTCGAACAATTCCATTGCATTATAAGGTCTCTAGCTCAAGCTCT